AAATGAACTAAAACAATTTCCTTTTTTGAGACATTGGAGTTCTGGACATTATTCTTTAAATCTTTCCAATTGTGACTGCCCAGTGCTGGTTCTGCTTCAAGTGCCTTGAGGCAGACCTCTTTACCAGGAACTCTTTGTATAGTGATGTAATGCCCCAGTTGTCGCCACACCGCTGCTTTTTCTGCAGAACTCCACGGCCTGCGCTGGCGTTTGTTTTTGCTGAGTAACTGTAGGTCCACAGCTGAAATAGAAATGACAAATGTGATGGACATTCTCAATATTGATAAATCAAAAATTTATCTGGTGATCTAATTTGTAATGTGTTGTTAATCCACATCTACTGTAATTAACACTACTCAAGTCTGAGAACTGAGCAGTACCCGTTTTCCAGATGTGATGGTCCTGTAGCCGAGGCCTGTTGAGTCAGCATGTCTGATTTATAAACTTTATGCAGGAAAATAAAGCTGATGTTTGCTTTATTTGTAACAGTTTTTCTGTAACATTGTCAAATAACCACAGTGCTCTGCTCCTCGCATGACCCAAAAAATGTTCATACCATCTGAAACTTGAGATGATTCAGATGCCATCTTTGACCTCTTGCGTTTGGAGGACCATTAAAGAGAAGAAGTAACCAGGATGGACATTTTTAGTTACTTTCTGTCATTTATAGACAGGAAAGAAAGCTGATATTCAAGGTAACAGCTCTGACGGCTTCATACCATAGGAGTCTTGAGCTGGTTCCAAAGACTTCTCATTGAAGACTTCTGTGTCACTTTCACTGACTTGAGACTTCTGTACAGCTCTAACTTCAGAAGACAAACCACCTGTTTTGATAAAAACAACATTTTGTGAACTTATCTTATTTCACATACTAAAGTGGCGAGTAGAACAAAAAAAAACAGCATTTTTAAATATAAGTTGCATTCTATTATGAAATAGATTTTCTACTTACTTTGTATGCCCAAATCAATCTCATCAAGAGATTTGCCTTTGTAGACCTCAGTTCCACGTTCGATTGCCATGAGCAGCTTGCTCATCTTTGCAAGCTGAAGTGTGTTCTCGGTTAGGCGATAGTATTCACAATGAACACGAATATCATGTCCCATAAATTTGGCAAGGTGATCCAACTCATTTTCTTTCAGATTCATTATATGACTAAGTGTAGCCACATGTTTCCTCAGGTGGGTTGACGTGAGTGTTTCAGGCTTCCTTGCCCCACTTGCAGCTGTATAGTTCCTCAAACAGTCTGAACCTCGGAGATGAGAATCTGAATACTGTCTTGCAAAGATGTACTCATTATTACCCAAAATGCCATTGTCCTCACTGCTTTGCTCAATGAGGAAATCAAGTGA